ATACAGCCTTGGAGTCAAACGAAATAAAGGAAGAAGAAAGAGGAGACCCAGTCACACAGGCCTCTGCCAAGCTTCCTGGTGGCCTGGCTGTGAACTGCTCCCTGAAATGAAGGACTAGCCCTCCAACGCCATAAGCCCACAAAACTCCTTCTCTTGAAGTCATTTTGGTCAGGTGGTGTTTTTGTTTTTTTGTTTTTTAACAAAACAACAAGACGTTAAAACCAGACCTTACACCATTTTTTAAAAATGGATTTTTTAAAACTTAATTCTTAAATACATGTGACTATAATACTCACTTGATTTTGTTACCCGGCATTTTAAAATCAGTTTAAGGATGTTTATGATATCTACTATGGAAGTTGTGTTCAGTGCATTGCTAGGCACTGGATAGGAATGAGAAAGAACTCACAGTCCCCAGTCAACCTCCTGGAAGAGTTTTGTTGTCTCATCATAAGAAAACAGAACTAAGGCCACTCACATAGTTCCCAAGTTATGAAAATCAGTTTACATAAATTGTTAAGTAAATATGCATTTCCTAAGACTGAATACATAGAAACCATTCTTCCACATACCCAGCCCCCTGCTCATACCCACTGTATTCCCTTCTAGCACTCAAATAAATGGTGCTTTACTAGCTCGGGGCCACAACTGTCCACTCGGCAAACCCACTGCCTCTGATTTCAAGTTCGAGGATAACATAGTATGACCATCCTGTGATCTCTGCCTCTCTTCCTTGCTGCCACCTCTGCTGCCACTCATGGTTCACTCACTTGCATCTCAGGTCACTCTCCCTGATACATACAGAGGGGCTCTCCTTTGGGCGCATACTATTTCTTGTGGGTCACTCTCTCTGATACCTACAGAGGGCTCTCCTTTGGGTAATTTCTTCTGCCTTTGCCCAGTTACTGGGAAAGAACACTAGATCTCCTATGCTCCTTTTCTGGATCTCTCTTTCAACAAATCATCTCTCTCATCACGGATACTACATGTAAATAACGCAAGTGATCTTCCTGTATTGGGATTAGAAAAAAGTACTGTTTAAGTTTGAAAAAAAAGGATAATGTCAGTCCCAGAAGCTTTTGAAAATAAGAAAAAGTTCCTTTAAGTGGGATTAAATAAATCTCTAAAATTTTATATATGTTTCCACCTCAAAATGTCTATACAATAATGGAATTTATATTATCAAAAAATTTAAGTGCCTTTTATAGGAAAACATTCTCTACTTCATTTTTCTTTGCAAAGGGAGCCCATTTTATTAATAAAATATGTTTGACAGTCTGAGTTTTAGATGAACCTTCACACTGATTTTTACTATAATACACTTATAAAATGAGGGCGTCTCATATAAGATATACTATCTTGAAATAAATGGAATCGATAACTCCCTTTGTATTCACTGAAATGGGAGAGATGAGGTGACAGGCATAGCTATAGGCTAAGAAAACCTCACAGAGTAGGGCTTGACATGGACTGTAAGCATCATGATCATAGTAGAGAGGAGGTAAAAGCCTAACTTAGGTTGTGTAGCCTGGCGAAGGTGGATTTGGTCATTACGGAGTTTGTTGTTGTTTGTGGTCATTGACACGGGGCCTTGCTATGTAGTCCTGGTTAGCCTAGAACTCACAGCATAGAGCAAGCTGATCTCAGTTTTTCCCTCTGTTTCCCAAATGGTGGTACAGATGCTCATCGTGCACAACTAAAAATGGAGATTTCTTAAAGAAAGTGAGGGAAATGTTGGTAAATTAAGATGGGGCCAATTTGTAGGTGTCTGAAGGTGTCACATGAGAGAGTTTAGTGGGTAGTTCTCTATAAATAAGGGAAAGCTATTGAAGACTTGGAAGAACTAAATTCTCACTGTGGTGCTGTAGATACTAGAGACCTAGGACACCATGGAAAGTGTCAAACAGTTTCTAAGTTGTATAATGAAGAAGGCGAGAGAAAAAAAAACACACCAGAAAGGTGCCGAGCTCCATAAAGAATATGCTGTCAGGAAGGGAGAGCGCTTGAATGAATAGAGTAAAGAAGGCAACGGCGAGTACACGGGGCTCGGTACTGTTCAAAGAAATTCTTGTGTGCCATGTGTCATTTGTATTTGTTTAACAGCCACCTTCAAAAGAAAACAAAATAGGCAGGAGAATTACGTTTAATAAAAGCCCCAGCATATTCATATAATTTCAACTTAAAGCTAATATAAAAATATTGATGAGATTATACAATTTTCATTGAGATTATTGATTAATATTACTGGTGGGCAGGAGACACGGCTCATTAGTGAAGAGCAGGTATCTGCTCTTCCAGAGGACCCACGTTTAGTTCCCAGCACCTGCAGAGTGACTCACAACCATCTCTAACTATCACTTCAGGGGATGTGATGCTGCCATCTAGCCTCCATGGCATGCATATGATGCACAGGCATACATTCAGAGCACCCATATATGTAATTTTTAAAAAATATAAGCAAGCAAATAAATAATTTTTATTCTTATTGCTTCATACTAAATCTTTAGAATCAGACATTTGCAAATATGCAAGCAAATACATCATTTTTAGTCTTATTGCTTCATGCTGAATCTTTGGAATCAGGAGTCTGTCTTATATTTACACATATCCCAATTTAACTAGCTACATTTCAAGTAGTTTCATAACTGTGGCTGGTGGCTATCATGTTGGACAGTGGGTTATTAGAACTGACAGATTACTTAGAAAATTTCTTAATTAAGATGGTGCTAAGTCTCACTACATTTTAGAAATTATAGTTCTATTTATCTCTCCTTCCTCTAGCCTTTTTGTCTAAGCTATTTGAGATTCCAGATTGTTGTTGTTGTTGTTGTTATTATTATTGTTTTTTAACCAGAACCCCAAAGTACCAGACATACCCATGATGTATTGTTTCATTGCTTGGTGTTGTTGCTGCTCCATTTAATTCTGTTTCACTTACAATTTAATTACCCAAGTCAGTCTGAAGAAACCGTCGTCTTTGTCAGCCTTAAAACTTACGATTATGAAATAGTTTAGCACTGTGTCCACAAAAATCTTAGATAAATACGGCATTTAATTCTTCATCTTTGGGAGTGGAGAGACTCTACTTTTCCCATTTCCCTGTGTGCGTCTGCATGTCTTCCCCAGCGGTGAATAGCTGATGTGAACAGCAGACTTGTCAGTCTTCACTGTATGCTGAAGACTGGAGTACAAAGGGGGGCCTACTTCTATAGAAGCGAGCCAAGGACATTGTGTTCCATCTTTACAATGAGATGCAGATTTCCTATTAAAAAGACCAATCCATCATTTCAAAAGGTTGAGTAGGATGGTGCATTAAGAAAACCCAGCTGCTTAAATTTAGGGCATTGAAAACCATCCAATTTTTTTTAAAAAGAAAAAAATGTTCTCTGGGTCTTAAGCATTTTCATTTGATTATGTATTGGAGAGGGTTTTATTCAATCTAGACTGGCCTCTTAGAATTCTGCCCGAAAATAGTCTGACAAGTGTTTTAAGTAAGTTGGACTCAGCTCTGATACCTCATTTACTTGAGTAATATATTTTGCTATTTAACATATCCATGCATTTATGAATAAATTATTAATTGTATACAGGAAATACTGAAATGGGCCCACAATGCTCTCTGCTCCTGCATCTTTTTCCAAGGCCTCCTCCACTCCCGCGGAGTTTCTTTTATCTTTTCTCATTGCTTTGAAGGCTTTGTTTGCCAGAGCGGCCATTTTGTTTTCCAACCAACTTCCTTCAACTTTTGCCGCCCTTTCTTTCCACCGTCTTATTTTTGTGGTTAAGTATAGAGTCGTACTTTTTTTTTTTATTATTTTGGGGGTGGGGAGAGGGGAAAGGACTACTCTGATGTACTTTCCTCAGTTTTCCCCTAATTTAGGAGCAGAAAAATGGCAAGATCAATGTTATCCCCCTACAATCCAACACTGCACTCGCCCTGCTCCTGAGCCACGAGCGCTCAAGCAGCCTGTATGCTGGAGGAGCGGCAAAGCCCCTGGCAAGCATCCTGTGTGAGGCACAGTTCCCATAGGAAACCACAGATGTGTCAGAATCAGAGTTCTGAGTATGTGCTCCGGCTCTGGCGTCTCTGTCTTCCTCACAAAGAGGGCTACTGTTGAGCAAGTGATGCTAATGTGATCTGGTAATAAGTTTTTACTAGGCTTCCTAAACTGAGTGTTTGCCTCTTGCCTGTTCTATGGGTTTTTATTTTATGCATTGTATTTATAATACAAGGTATTGTATTATAAATATATATATCTATATACATTGTCCCTGGGCCAGTTTTCTTTGGCATTTGGTTTGGTCACATTTGCAAGCCTCGCCTTTCCAACAGCCATAGTCTTTATAAAGAATTGTCTGTTCTAAAGGAGAACCTGTGTTAATTAACATTAATCTAATCCTAATGGGGTTTTCTTCCCCAGTAAGCTAAAAAAAATTTCCGAGTTGTGTAAAAGAATCTTTTTGTGGATCTATACTTTATATTAGACCCAAATGAAGGAAAGGTTTTCTGTGTTTTATCTCAGTTTATGGGGTATTTCATACCAGGGTCCTTGGGCTTCCACACTCCCCTGCCAATGCTGGCTATCAAAACTGCTTAGGCTGCAAATAAAATGCGAAATGAAATCCATCTGGCATTTCTCATTGAATTAGGACCAGAACATTTTTGTTAAATATTAACAGATGGCTAAATTCTTAATATCAAACTAACATTTCCAAACATCTAAGGGGACCCACATGAGGGGGCAAGGGATGGAGGAGCACGTGTTCTCTCCATCTCAGAGTCCTTCCCATACACTCCCCCTCCCCCACCCCTGGGCTTTCAACCCATATGTGCTGGGAATCACTGAACCCTCCTGTCTCTTGGTAACTGGTGTAAAAGTAGCATTTGATGGCATCAAGGTAATGAAGTCAACGTTATGGAGTGGTAGTCAGTTTGGGAGGTGTGCTGCTGCCGGTGCGCTTTGCTAAAGTCTTCTTTCTCTCTCACCCCTGAATGCCAGGAGAAAGAAAAGAAATACATGCTTCCTCTGGACAACCTGAAAGTCCGGGATGTGGAGAAGGGCTTCATGTCCAGCAAGCACGTCTTTGCTCTCTTTAACACAGAACAAAGGTAAGACAGTGAAGTCGCTTTTGGCTTAAGAATTTTTCGTTCACATTTTGTATTTTTTCCCAGTCAGGATCTCAGGTAGTTCAGGATAGCCTAGAGTTCATACTGTAGCCATGGCTGGCCTTGAACTCCTAATCCTCCTGCCTTCCCCCCCCCCCCCCCCGTTGGAATTACAGGCAAGTACCACTATACTTGTTTTCACTTGTTTTCCTTAGGCTGGTTTGGTATTTTTAGCATCCACTATGGGTTATAGCTTCAAAAAATCAAAACATCAAGTCAGAACAATCTTCAAATCTTGGTTTATTTCCTGGTTTTCCAGCAGGCACAGAATTCTTGCCAAATCATTTCTTAAAGCTCCATTTTACTACCTTATGGCTGTCCTTGTCTGGGTTTATTGTTTACAAATTTACAAATCCTCACCGTGGCTTTGTTTGTTTGTTTTTATTTTTGCTGGGGAGTGAGGAATTAAAACAATTATACAGAAGGCTAAAAGAAAAATGGAGGGTGATCGATGACCATCTTGTGAGCTAGAAAGCAGAGTCTCAATTCTTTTGTCTTTCTTAAGATCACACAGCTCAGACCTGAACCCAGAGAGGGAAGCTGAGTCAGGACCTTGGTTTACATCCCTCTTGCATATTCCTTGTGGCATTTTCCTGTTCTCTCCTTCTATTGCTGCTGAAGAGCATCAAGGCTTGACTTAGTGCTGACCACCGACCATCACTCCGTGATCCGGCTCTTCACTAAAACTAAACAGTGGAATTAAACAACAAACGGGTGGAAATGGCTGTAGTCAGACAAAAACAATAAAGGGGTTTTGTTTTGTTTTCCCCTCAAATGGAAATGTTACAGGAAAAGCCCAATCTGTGTAAGTTAATGAGAAGTGAGTCACCAGGTGCAGGGTCTAATTCTAACCCGTGTTTCCAGGCTGCGTTCTATCTTTATTTAGCAATAAATGAAGTTACTCGATTAGGTTCAGTGACAAGCCTAGGGTCAATCACACAGTTAATCAAAACAGCACAAGGAGACTTCTTCCTACATTCCCAGTCAGTTGCTCAGAGTGACTCAGAATACAAAAATACTTGGAAAAACCACAAGAGCGAACCATTTAAAGAATCAAGGGGAAGGAAAATTAAATACCACTCTTCAGTGAAATTGTGAAATGGGATCCCCCCCCCCTCTTTGGAGGACCTGGTGTTATGTGAAAGAAAGAAAAACCTACCATTGAAAATGATAATGAGTAAAGAAACTTAGTAGAGCAGCAGTGATCCTCGGGGCAGAGCTCAGGACTGCTCATAGCTCTTGCACCCTGGAGAATCTGGAGATCCCAAAGTCATCGTAAGGGTGTGCTCTGCGCGAGTTCTAGGAACCGGAAGTCAACATATTGTAATGCTCCACCTAGCCAGAGCTTCAGTTATTAAAGAGCTTGGAACAGAAAGAAATTTACAACTGTGGGTATTAGAAAGTATAAAAGAGTCACCAAAGTAATATTCTAGATTTCAGAAAAACCTAGATCTTCTGGAATCCTTGAATTCTAAAAAAGATACTAAATTTTGTCACCCCCCTCAGGGATCTCTGCCGGGACACGGATGCCCCAAGGAACATATATGCCATTCTCTTTTCCTTTGAAATCTTGAGCCCCTTGAATGGTTTTTGTGCTGTCCAGGTCTGCCAGGACAGTGTTGATCACAAGTGGGAGTCCCTATCCTGTTTCTGATTCAAAGTGAATTCTTTGAAAGGTTTTAGATTTAAGTTCTTTTAGAAAAATATCTGATATCAGATGAGGAGCCTTTTTTGTAGTCCTCGGTTCTCAGATTACTTTGTACACTTTCAAAACAAGGCAAGCTGATCAATTTTTATCAATATCTCCACCTGCAAGGCTATTTAATTTTTCCTGGTATGATTTGCTTGTATGGTGAAACACACTTTAGGTTTTCTAATGAGGAATCATCCTTGCTCTCCTACTGTCGTGGTGGAACACATGTACTACGCATTCTTGACGTAAAATTGCTAGTATCTTATTGCAGTTATGTTTACAAGGAAAAGTGAGCTCCAAAAAATACCCTTGGTTGGCAAGATTGAGTCTCAAGGTTCTTAGCTTCATGAAATCACATGGTACTAAACCCTAATTGTTCTTTGGAACATTTTCTTTAAAACTGGGATTAATTGCTAATTGGCTTTTTGGTTGAAGTCATTGCTGAAATCATCTAGCCCGAAAGGTGTTTTTAAAAGAAATTTTGATTAATAAGTATTTGAGAATTTCATATAAGTGTACAGTGTATTTTGATCCTGTTTCCCCTTATTACCTCCTCCTACTCCCCCCAGATCCATCCTCTACTTCCCCACCTCTTACAAAATTTGTGTAATGTTTTTCTAACACATCAAGTTTAATTGGAGCTGCCCCTATACATATGGGTATGGGGCCATCCGCTGGGCATGGTCAAACTACCAGGGGCCACACTTCTAAAAACACTTGTCTGTTCTTCCCCTGGATGTCATCCACAGTCAATGGAGCCTCAGCTGGGAACTGGAGCTAATGAGCCACCAGTATCAAAAGGTGTGTTTGGCAAGTAGACAGTTAATTCTGACTTAATCTATTAGTCATTGCACATTGTAGAGATAGTCTACGTTTTATTTGAACCAGTTTATGTAAATTATATTTTTTTCTTCAATCTATTTTCAAATAAATTTTCTCTAAGTATATTATTGCTTTCTTATTTTTAATATCTCAGATGTTTCTGAGAATTTTTTGTTGGCTTGTTTTTTGAGACAGAATTTCTCTGTAACTTTGCAGCCTGCCTTGGAACTCACTCTGAAGACCAGGCTGGCTTCAAACTCATAGAGATTCACCTGCCTCTGCCTCCCAAGTGCTGGGATCAAAGGTGTGCACCACCAACATCCAGCCCTGAGACTTGGCATCTTTATCTCTGATATTAAACTGTCCCCCTTTTCACTCCGTGACCCCCTTGTCAGAGTTTTGAGTTATTGTCAAAGAAACAGCTTTAGATTTTTTTCTTTATGGTGTAAATTTTTTTTTCTACTTCAATATTTTTTTTCACTTCCTGCCATATATCTTCCTCGTGTTTACTTTGTCATTTGGATGTATAGCTCACCAGCTGGTACCCTTATTGTCTCCGGCTGCTTGCCACAAATATTGGTTATAACATTTTCATCAGTGTTCAGTTCTTTTTTTCAGTGTTTTCTCTTCCCTTTGAGTTATGCAGAAATGTGTTTCACGTTTTATAATGCACAGAATTTTGGTGTTTGTTGTTGTTTGTCTTTAACTTAATTGTATTGTGGTCAGAGAATGTGGTCTGGCACATTCTGGATTTTCTTAAGTGCTTCATGGATGTTGGAGAGCGTGTCTTCACTAGTTAGAAGTGCAGGTTTCTAGGTCATGCTTGTTGATTGCATGATCTGATTTATGCTGTTGCTATCTTATTTTCATTGTGACTCATTCAAACATGCAGCAAGGGCATAAGGCAGCTACTGTGTGTTATGTTTCTCTAGGCTTTAAAATAGTACTGTGAATGAAACTGAAAAAAAAAAAAGAAAACAACCTTGAATGTAGATTATATTCTGAAGGTGATTGACAAGGGAGACAGTTAAAAAAGTTATAAACAACTATGTTCACACCCACTTTGTTGTGAATTTGAGCAAGTCTGTCAATTGCTGGGTTGTTTTGTTTGTTTGATTGATTTTGTTTTGTTTTTTAAGGATAATCTGTGATTTTTGTATTCATTAACACTTAGAATTTTTGGGGTAAGAGAGATGACTCGGTGGCTAAGAGTACCTGCTGCTCTTGCAGAGAGTAAGGATTGGTTCCCAACATCCATATCAGGCAGCTCACAACTGCCTGTAGCTCTGGCTCTGGGAGATCTAACACCCTATTCTAGCGTTTATGGACATTACACTCATGTGTACAAATTCACACATAGATATACATATATGCATATACACATAATTAACATTAAATCTTTTTGTGTGGAAAATTCTAGTTTAGCCTAGCTATTATTTTTTAAAATTTTTTTAAATTGTTTTTATTGAGCTATATATTTTTCTCTACTCCTCTCCCTTCCTCTCCACTCTCCTTCTACCCTCTCCCATGATCCTTTTTACTCCCAATTTACTCAGGAGATCTTGTCTTTGTCTACTTCCCACGTAGATTAGATCCATGTATGTCTCTCTTAGGATCCTCTTTGTTGTCTAGATTCTCTGGGATTGTGAATTGTACACTGTTTTTTCTTTGCTTTATGTCTAAAAGCCACTTATGAGTGCATACATAATTATGTTTGTCTTTCTGGGTCTGGGTTACCTCAATCTATATGATGTTTTCTAGCTCAATCCATTTGTCCACAAATTTCAAGATGTCATTATTTTTTTTCCTCTGTGCAGTGCTCTATTGGGTAAATATACCACATTTTCCCTATCCATTCTTTGGTAGAGGGGCATTTAGGTTGTTTTCGGGTTTTGGCTATTACAAATAATGATGTTATGAACATAGTTGAGCACATGTCATTGTGGTATGTTGGACATCCTTTGGGTATATGACCAAAAGTGATATTGATGGGTCTTGAGGTAGGTCTTGAGGTAGACACATTTCCAAAGTGTCTGTACTAGTTTGCACTCCCACCAGCAATGGAGAAGAGTTCCCTTTACCTCCCCAGCATAAGCTGTCATCAGTATTTTTGATCTTGACCATTCTTACAGGTGTTAGATGGAATCTCAGAGTTGTTTTGATTTGCATTTTTTTGATGGCTAAGGATGTTGAATATTTCCTAAAGTGTCTTTCAGCCATTTTAGATTCCTTTGTTGAGAGTTCTCTGTTCAGGTCTGTACCCAATTTTTTATTGGATTATTTGTTCTTTTGTTGACCAGTTTCTTGAGTTGTTTGTATATTTTGAAGATCAGTTCTCTTCTGATGTGGGGTTGGTGAAGATCTTTTTTTGCATTTTGTAGGCTGCCATCTTGTGTTGTTGACTGTGTCCTTTGCTTTACAAAAGCTT